TGCAACCATCCCTGAAACACGCATGAATTCTCAATGTGCTGACAAATCAAGAATCCTGGAGTGCATGCAAGGCCAGCCCCCAGCCGTGGAGAAAGTACCAGAGGAATGCCACCCCTGGGTGTCTGCCTGGTTGACACCAGCCTCCCCCAGAGCCACAGTTCGGCTCTGTGTGCCTCTTTGATCTTCTCCATCCCTCCAGAGTGAGACCATATCTGATGCTTCTATTTGAGTCATCTTCTCACACCATGTGTCCTACAAAGCACTTTGGTTTCAGCAAATGTGTTCCTTGATTTCTTTCAGTCTCATTCTAGCACATCAAAAAAGTTAACATACCATCTATTTGGGGGGGGTTAATCACATGCAAAGGAAGCATCAATAGAAATAAGTGTGCGGTGTGTATGTGGGTGGGTGAGTGGTGTGTGGTATGTGTGTTTGTATGTGTAGTATGTGTGTGTGCTGTGTTTGTGTGGTATGCGTGTGTGGTGTGTGTGTGTGTGTGTGTGTGGTGTGTGACTGTGTGTGTATATATGTGTATGTGTAGTGTGTGTATGCTGTGTTTGTGTGTGTGCTGTGTGCTGTTTGTGTGGTGTGTGTGTGTGTACTGTGTTTGTGGTATGTGTGTGTGGTGTGTGTGTGTGTGGTGTGACTGTGTGTGTATATATGTATATGTGTAGTGTGTGCTGTGTTTGTGTGTGTGTGTGGTGTGTGTGTGTGTGCTGTGTTTGTGTTTGGTGTGTGTTTGTATGGTGTGTGTGTGTGGTGTGTGACTGTGTGTGCATATGTGTATATGTGTAGTGTGTGTGTGGTGTGTGTGCAGTGTTTGTGTGGTGTGTGTGGCGTTTGTGTGTGTGTGTGGTGTGTGTGGTGTGTGTGTGTGGGGGGAGTGTTTGTTTAGAGGAAACATGAATGCAAAAATTTGAAAAAGAAAGACGTAGTTCCCTTTAAAAGATGACAGTGTGTTTGACATAATCCACCATCCTTGACTTCATCTTCTGCTCTGGCCTGTGAGGCAGTGGTCCTTGGGTAGATTCATCAACTGTACCTCCCCTCCCCCTCCTCAAAGCTTTACAGAACCTCACACAAGACAAAGGACAAACTCTTTCCAAAGAGAAGGTACTCCTGTTCCCTCTGGTAACTCGGGATCATTCTCTTGGGCAGGCTGCTCATCTAGAGCAAAGGGTGACAATGTTTTCCGTGAAGGCCCACACGGTAGGTATTTAAGCTCTGTGGGCCACAAGCCTCCTGGCAGCTACTCAGCTTTGCCACTGCAGAGTGACAGCAGCCACAGACAATATGTAGCCAAGTAAGTGTGGCTGTGTTCCGATGAAACTGCTGATGCACACTGGAATTTGAATTCATATAAACTTTATGGATCGTGAAATATTACTCTTTTTATTTATTTTCCAACCAATCAGGAATTTTAGAGCCATTCTTGAAGGATTTACAGACCACGGTTTGCTGATTCCTGCTCTACTATGGTTGAGCCAGGCAATGATTTGCCAAACATGTGACTTGGTGATGCCCCTCACCCACCCTGCAAGTCATCACCTAGAAACAGTTCTGAAAGTCACAAGAAGCCAACTTAAAATCTTTCATTAAAATTAAATAAAGGTCATCACATTTTTTTTAAGGGCCATCTTATTATTTTAAATCCCAAATAGCAGGAATTAATACAATTGCATTTTTAGTTAACCATCTCAGCTCAAGAAACAATCTATGCAAGAGCCATAAGCAATCAGTAAACTTGTTTCACATTCACAATGAGTGCACTAAAACTTTTCCGTGTCAGTTTATACATCATAATGTCTGCCATCATTCCAATTTCTAGCTGAGTATTTACAGACATCCCTCAGTACCACCACAGTCCACGACCATAAGCAGCTGACACATAAAATGCTTTGCATTTTCTTTCTTTAGCCTAATCAACACATCTACATATTTTCTGAGCTCCTTCTTCACATGTAAGTTTAGAGGCTATTGTCCCGACCAGGCTGGCTTTGTAGGTATGCCAACTGCACACTTCTCTGGCTTTGGTTCTATGTTAGTTTGCTTCACTCCAGTTTTTGCTCATGTACGTCTTCTCAAGTAGACTTTTCTATTTCTACTTTCTTTTTCTCTTTTTAAAACTTGGTGTGTGCGTGTGTGTGCGTGTGTGTGTGTGTGTGTGCATGTGTGTATATGTGTGTGTTATACATGTGGATGTACACGCATGTAGGAGTCAGAAGTCAAAGCTGGGTGTCACCTTATTTTATAAGACAGGGTACCCTGTTGAACATGGAACCCACCCATTTGGCTAGGTTGGCCGGCCAGTGAGCGCCTGTCTGTGCTCCCCTGTGCTGTGTCTGCAGATGTCTGCTTCAGTGCCAGGCTTTTACACAGGTGCTGGGAATCCAAACTCGGCTGTACGTACAGCAGACAGTTTACTGACTGGGCCATCGCCGTCAACAATACCCTTCCCTCTACTCTCTCTTCTATTCCCACCTCCGGGCTCCTCTTTTTTCCAGATAGCCACACTCCTGGTCACTTGGCTCAGGCATACATGTGAACTACATATCTCAGCTGAACTTCCTATGTCCCCAGCAGCAGAGTCCCAGACCCCACTTCACTATACCGTCCCTTCTTTTCCTGTGCATACTTGGAAATGCCCATGATAAAAGCTTTAGAAAACAGACCATATCTTCCTGTAGTGTAGATTTGGTCACAAAAGGAATTTGAGGTGGGAAGGAAAGGGGAGTCCTTGCCATTTCTATGTGCCTTTATCCAAGTTGCTCACCTGTCGGTCCTGACCTCTCTATTCTCTGTCTTTGGTAGAATAACTCTCAGCCTCTTACAGCCAGGCCTGACTGCATTTCCAAAGCACCTTACACATCCTTGTTAAAACATTTATCATTGGACTGCAGTTACAGTTACCTAGCGACCCCACCACAAAGCCATCTGCACCCCTAAGCCAGGCAGCAATTCTCATTGCTGTACCCAGCCCAGTGCCTGGAACAGGGTATTAATACTGCACCTCTTGGACACATTAAAGACAAGCCCTAGGGAAGGAGGTATTGCACGGAGCTTCCCAGACAATTTTCATCCACACTCTCAGCCTTCATTTGCTCTTTTAAAAAATTAACAGACTATGTTTAAAAATGCAACTTCAAAATACGCCTCCCCTTTCCACTGGCAATGGAGCAGACGCTCCTAAATGGCCTTGCTTAGGAATTGTGGGATCAAGGCCACAGAACAGGCAATGAGGTCTTCACACCAGGAAATAAAACATGCCCACAGTATCTCCTAGTTTTCAACGCACCTTTTTCCTCCCTTCCGTTTGTCCACCCGTTGCTGGGAGGTGAGACCGAGACACTCTTGCCTCATTTTTCAAACTCGGGAAGTAAAAGTGGTAATGGCAAGATCAGAACTCTAGGGAACTCTGTTGATCTGTCCATTCACCTGCATTTCAGTAACACCAGACTCAGGAGAAGGAGTTGGTTTTATTTTGTTTGTTTGTTTGTTGCCCATTTATGTATGGTGGCACTAAATTGTGGCACCACATTCTGGAATCCCATTCCAAATACAACCAGGTAGGCAGATGTGCAGCTAAAAACATCATATCCATCCCACTGGCCATGCTCTAGGACTCTGCCCATAAGTGCTCACTGAATGATTTACCCCCAGTGAGTTACCAACTGTTCAAAACTGTACACTATGCATTTCTGCAAAGAGAAGTATGTTGCTTACTACCCAAAATTATCACTCACGAGGATGCACTGCTATTTATAGGTTAAGTGTAAGCTCTTGATTATCTCTTGTTTTATACTTCACATTTCCTCAAGTATTAAGTTTAGGTTACTGAACACATTAGCAGGCTCTTCTGTCCCTTTGACTGTCTTGCTGCTTACCGAATGTAATTCCTCTAATATTAGTACATACCACTTTAGTCAAAGACGGGGCAATGCCTGCCAAACATATTCTTGCCACTGTGTGATAACTAAAAGCCAAGATCGTTTATTATACTAAGTTATTCAAGTGAGTTACATTTAGCTCTTCTCCAGTTAGTTAATACCTTTTCATCAAAGGTCTGTAATAGTAGAGCACACACAGCAGGCCACACTTAAGATCCTTAAGTTTGATCTGGCTACAAGTCTGTCCATTAAAAAATTTTCAATATGGCAGAGCACAAAATATTTCTCACAAATGCAAATACAGATATCACGCAGATAGGTGCAAGACATGAACCACTGGCCTTTGGCACAAAAGTCTGAGGTGTAGAGGCAGTTCACTCTGCAAGACATTTTGCTTGTTTCTTTCAGAGTTCAGATGCATGCCCCTTTTCCTTAGGGTAATAAACTGTAATTGCTAACATACTGTGTAATGTTTACTGTTAAATTTGCAATCTGGACAAACAGAAAAATTACACTGTCAGAGCCCGGAAACAACTACAATCCGTTGTCACCCAGAGCACCTTCCTCGGAGACTGGCCAGAGAGGCAGCACTCTCTGCGGTTTAAATTTCTCTTTAGAGTGAGGGTCTTTTCTGCAGCGGCAAAGATTAAGACCAAAGCCACCTCCCTGTGACCTTCTTAACACAGACCTTGAGTGAGCGCCCAAGGAAAGAGAGCTGTGAATTTCATCAAGGGACTTGACAGCTCCACTGCATCCCTTGCTCTTGGTTTTCGGAAACAAAAAAGGGGACTCTACACCAGCAGAAGCCCACCCCCACCCCACCCCCACCTCTCCTGGAAACTTAAATGACATTCCCCCTGAGGGCCTGGACACTCTGAAGCCGGCACGGATGCACCCTCCCAGGTCTTACTGCCAGGGGAACCCCCCACCCACCCACCCACCCGCGAGCGGAGCGTGGAGTCTGCGGGGCGGAAGGGGACCGGGCAGACTGGCGCCTTGTCCCCCGCAGCGCCGCATTCTGTTGCCCGCACGTGGAACGCTCTCCCGCAGGTGGCACCCCAGGAGTAGCTCCCCGCGATTCAAACCCCGCACCCCGCACCCCGCCCCGCATACCTTTTATCCAGGCAGGCGATCCACTCGGCGGAGGACGCAGAGTGTGCAGCGTGCGCAGCGACCATGTTGGGCAGCAGCGCGCGGTGGCCCCCGGCCGCGGCCACCTCCCGCGCGCCTCCCGGCGGGCTCCCGCGGCCTGCGGGGCGGGGACCGAGGGGCGGGCCGGGCGCGAGGCCCGCGCTGCACTGCGGCGCCCGCGTGGGAGCCCCGCCACCCCGCCCGCCCGCCAGGAGCGGCGACCCCGCTACACCTGCGGCAGGTGCCCGCTCCGCCAGGCTCGCGTCCACCCTCACCTCGGGGCCTCTGCAGCTGGTGCCACCGCGGTGCGCGTGGGGAGGGGATGTCAGACTCTATATATTTTTCATACGGCAAATGCCACTAAAATGGCTGCTGCCTCTCTGTTTCCTTAGAAACCCATTAGTCCTCCTCAGCGTCTGTCAAAACTTGCAGGCTGCTCCTGGCTCACCTTTACAATCTTCCCTTTAAGTGGGGACAAGAGAGGGCAGGGCTGGGAAGGCTTGCCGTGAGGTGGGGGGGGGGGACCCACCCCATGGTCTCTTGATGTGGACCCCAGAAGGTAAATTATTCTGAAGGTTGGGGGCTGGGAAGGACGGAAAGAGACAGTGTGGTCACTGAGGCAGAAGGACCCAGGAGACCAGAAGATAAGGAGGGGGTACAAAATGAAGTCACTGGCTTTGAAACTTGGGACTTTCTTGGGATCCGTGGCCCAAGAATGACAAAAAAAGAAACAATTAAGAATGGGGTATCCCTGGGTCCCAAGCAGAACTGGGGTTTTGGGTCTGGAAGCTGAGGTTTTGGGTCTGGAAGCCAAGTTCCTGGGCACGCCATGTACTTGGTGGGGTAGGTAGCCTCTTCCATCCCACAGCTTTTCTTTTCCCTGACCCAGTGCTGAGGATAGCCACAGCTGACTGTCTCCTGTAGGTGTTCACAGCAAATGTTATGCCTAGAAGTTGTTCAGTTACACTCTGCCAAAAAACAACAAATTTGCAAGGACGGTTGTTCAGGAATTTGGGGACACGTTAAATCTGTTGGACTCCAACCAAGCACCGTTTTGGTATTTGTGACATACATTTAGGAATAGGCAAGGCTGAAAGGGGACATTGCTACTATTTCCCCCACCCTTTCAGGGCAGATTCGGGGAACCTGGAGAGAAGGAAACAGCTCACGTCTTCTGGGAGGCGTCTGTTCTCATAAAACAACCTTGACCTTAAATCTTTGCAGAAAAATTTCCATCTTCCCATGTCCAATAGACAGGATCTGGTTTCAGACCAGGCATCGACTGACTGCCTTCAGCAACACCTCCCTGCTCAGGCTTGTCCCTCAGCTGAACTTCATCTCTATTATTTACCATAAATATCACTTAACATATCATACCACATTAAGATTTCCAAAGATGTCATCTTACGTGGATTGAAGAAGACGTGTCTTCTCAATCAGAGCCATTGGAACACTTCAAGGTTAAAAATGCCTCGGGAATATTGGGAAGTAAGGAACCAGAGGAGAAAAGGCAACACATCACCTGTCATCACACAGAGGCTCAAAGTGGCCATGGAAGGTCACAAAGCTAAGAATATTAGCTATTTGTTAAATCTATTAGGTTTTGGGCAGTGGGTAGCATTCTTTATATGTACTCTCATCTAAAGAGAGGCAGAGACAGAGAGATAATACTCCACAAGGGACACCAAAGATCTTTGAAAATGGAGTGAAGTAGTGAAAATTACATTTTGAGGGAGAATATTTGGTGCCTTAAAAGCAAGACACTTGCTGTGGGGGGGGGGGGTAAGGTCCCCAGTAAGTCTCCCACACATATGAAGCATGTTGCAGTCTGTTTGATACAGAGCAGGAGCTTTGATTGTTACATGGGGGGGGGGGACACTGACTCACCTCTAAGGACAAGCAGAAGTATTTAAATATTACCCAGGAGGAGCACCAACAACTATTAGCTCATCTAGAGCATGTACATCCATCCCTGGGGGATAGGTGCCAGAGAGTCGCCACGATAGTGACCCAAACACTAGAGCCACCTCCCTTCCCTTGAACCAGAGCTGGGTATGTCTAACGTCTAACTTCAAAGTGATGGTTCTGCCGTTGCTGTCAATAAAATGAGAATATAAGGTCTGTCCAAAATTACTTCCTAAGTGACAAGGACTAAATGGTTATAGATTGTTATTCAAATATAAGAATGGGGGAACATCTCAGGAATTAAATACATATAGAAATGATCCCCCTTAGGCACAGTCTTAGTGATTATTCTCATGGTCCGAAAGGGATTTGACTGCATCAAGGACTACAAAAGTAGAGGAGAATGCACTGCTGGTCATTATCATTGTGAAGAGGGTAAAGGCAAAGAATCTAAGAATATTCTACCTTTCTTGTTAATTCTTCTTTCTTAGGTTTATTGACTTTACTTTATATGTGTGAGTGTTTAGTTCCCTTAAAGGTCAGAAGGGATTGTCAGATCCTCTGGACCTGGAGTTATTGATGGTCGTGAGCCCCTATGTATGTGCTGGGAACCAAACCCAGGTCCTCTGCAAGAACAGCAAGCACCCTTAACCATATCTCCAGCCCCTCTTTTAAAGGACATAAAATAATACCAGACTAAAAAAGACCAAATGTGAAGTGTCCCCATTCTGAAAAATGACTAGAGAAGGTAAATTTATAAAGATGGAATGTAGATTGGGAATTGCTTGGATCTGGGCAGCAGGGTCAGAGAGAGGCTATCATGAGTGCAAGAAATGACTTAAAATTGCTTGTAATGAGGAACACAAATGTCATAAATTCACACAATCCCTGAATGATGTGTTTACAATGTTATGGCATGCAAATGATATCACAATAAAACTGTTTAAAAGAAACAATAAACTTGACTACTGAGTATGTGAGGGAGGGGTAGAGAACATTGCACTGACTAGGGAAAATAAAAAAAAGTTATAAGGAGAAAAAAATAAAGATTATTTATAATTCTATCGCCTAGTGATGACCCTATTAATATTTTAGTGAACTTCATTCTAAACTTTTCTATTTAAAAAAGACAAAGGCACGGCCTGGAGAGATGGCTCAGTGGTTAAGGGCACTGGTTGCTCTTCCAGAGGTCTTTGGTTGGATTCCCAGCACCGACATGGTGGTCCACAACCACTTATAATTCCTGTTCCAGGGGATCTTTATAAACACTGCACACAAAATACCCATACGCATAAAAGTAAATGTAAAAAAAAAAAAGGTAAAAAGGTATAGCCACTCAAACATAGAACTGGCTGTCTATAGTAAGTCATTTATGTTTTTAATGTGTATAAATTATTTATACAGGCTTGATAAAGCTACAAGATTATGAACTTTTCTACTAATAATGGAACATGTCTTACATGTTCAAAAAATCTTCATTACATTAGGAATTTTAATTGGTTTCTGAATACTCAAATATACAGGTTTAACTTACTTAAGTATCCTCTAGACCTGTTTTGATCATTCTTGAAAAGTTATTTTCTGCCTAATCCTCTCCTTGCAGTTCATGAACTTCTCTTTATGACAGCTGACACGTTCACTACAGACCTCCCACTAGATGCTGAGTGCTGTTATATAATGTGTGGCTCATAATGCCAATCGGCCCTTGAATAGGCCACATGATGCTCAAGCTGCATTCTGTTTATCTGAGCAGAAGCTAAGTTATCAGCTTGGAGTTTGGTCTCTCAGTTCAAACTGTAATTCCTTCTTCCACTAAGAATTTGGCCTTAGATGAATTACTTAAGATTCTGTTTTGAGTGGGGTGGTGGTGGTGAACGCCTTTAATCCCAGCCCTCAAGAGACAGAGGCAAGTGGATCTCTGTGAGTTTGAGGCCATCCTGGTCTACAGAGTGAGTTCCAGAACAGACAGAGCTACACAGAAAAACCATATTGGGGTAGGGGGGTCTGTTTCATCGGCAAATGAAGATATTCATGTGAGAATCATGCTTGTAGGAATTGCAGCAAGGCACCAAATACAACATATGCATTCAAGAACTCTTCGTTATTATTCTCGGCACAATACAGATAAATAGTATGTACCTCTGTTTCCTGGAAGCATAGTAATAAATCATTGAGGTCCCTTATATTGATGGCCCTCCATTTACATTCTGTAACTTCAAATTTTCCACTGTGAAGGATTCAGGAGATGGTTCTCCCTAAGACACAATAATGCTTCCTACTCAAGCTATTTTGAGCTTCCCATCACAATCAGCACCATTCACTCTCTGCACAGCTCTGCCATTCTTCAAATGAGAGTTACACATACATAACCCTGGATAATTATTGCCGTATAGAAATCGAAGGCACAGCAGCAAAACTCAAGTAGAGCCCTGCATTTTCCCATCCCTGGAAAGTCTGTGGTAGACTGGGTATTCACTGACATCATGTTGACTTCCATGAAGACAGAAGTTGAGAAGCCTGTGGTATACATTCTAGAAGACAGAGACCAAAACAGCTGGTGATGTGATTCAAACTGAGTTCAAAGATCCAAGCTCCGATGATGCTGATGATGTAAATTTAGGGCAGAGGACAGAGAAGCATGGGCGATGGCACAGCAAGGCAGTAAAGGAGAATGCAAATCCCTCTTTCCTCCAATTGGCTCTATTACGTTTAAGACTGGATGATGCCCAACGTGGGGGGCAACACCTGCTTTGCCGTGTTTCTTACCAATCAGCTGCTGGGGGGCCTCCTGTTCAATGCAGAGAGGAGTAGTGGAGAGGTGAGGGAAAGCTCTTCGGCACTGATCTCTGGCAGCTTCTGCATCCTTGGCATTTGGTGGTAGAGAGATGGCAGCAGGTGGTACTTTTCTAACATCACAGCTTTCCTGTAGGCCTCAAGAGCTGGGATCCTCAGCCTCGTGGTGAACAGAGTTTTTGTCTTTTGTGTGGGCTGAGGAAGTCCTTAACCATGTCACAGCTCCTGAGCTGTTATGGTTTGAATCCAACATGTCTCTTGTGGGTTCCTGTCCCTAGCCGGTGGTGCCTCTGGGAGGATCTGAAACTTTGGGAGGTGAGACCAGGCTGCAGGAGATGGGGGTGATTGCTTTGGGACATGTGGTTACGCTTGCATACTCACACCTGTCCCTAAGTCCTGGCCCACTATAATACAAACAGAGATCCTGTACTATGCTGTCCCCACCATGGTGAACTCCATCCTCTGAAACCACAGCCAAAATCAATCTTTCTTCCCTTAGTATTTGGGCAGTGTCTTAGTCAGTGTTCTGCTGCTGTGAAGGTACACCATGACCAAGGTAACTCTTATAAAAGATAGCATTTAATGGGGCTTGATTACAGTTTCAGAGGCCTAGTCCACTCTCCTCGGGGCAAAGAAGCACACAGGCAGACATGGTAGCTGAGAGTTCTACACAGGCAGCAGGAAGAGAGAGCCAGCAAGCCTGGCTTGAGC